TGTATTTTCTTACCCCCTTCCCAATAGCAATAGAAAAATCATCAATATCAGCAGTAGTAGCCTCTTGGGAACCATCATTACCTTCTGTTTTAGCTGCAACAAGATCCGAATCTGGTTCTTGGCAAATGCTAGGCTGACTGATTTGTTTAACAACATCTTTCCTTCTTCTTGAGTAAACACTGAATTGTTTCGGTTGGGGAGTTATGGTTTCAGTGTCATTGTTAGGAGCATTTTTGGTAGTGGTGGAAGGTGTTTTGCACGGACTAGAGTGTTGAGATAAGGAGGAAGGTAATTCATCAGAGTTATTTAGGTTATTCCCATCATCCTCACTAGGGATTAGGACAGTGCTAGCCGGCTTTGGAGAGACAGTAATAGGTAAAGAAATGATAGGCTGTAAAGAAATATTGGTTTGAACAGGCTGAAAATCCTTGAAACTCTCCCCCTGAATTTTTGTTCTTGAAAAATAAGGTTGGTTTTCAAATAATGTGACATCAAAGTAGACAAAGGTCTTTTTTGTGGAAGGTGAGTAACAGTTGTAACCCTTATGACTCGAAGAATAGCCTAAGAACACACACTTTATGGACCTAGGATCTAATTTTCCTCTGTTGTGGATATGAACAAAGGGTGTAAACCCAAACACCCGAGGAGAAAGACTTGAGGTTAAATGTTTAAAATGGGGAAAAAGTTGAAACAGAACCTTAGTAGGAATTTTGAAATCTAAAGTCTTACTTGGCATTCTATTGATGAGGTACGTGGCTGTAATAAGAGCTTCCCCCAAAGATACTTAGGAGCATTAACAGCAAACAGAAGAGACCTAGTAACCACTAGAAGATGTCTATTTTTCCTTTCTGCTACCCCGTTTTGTTGAGGTGTGTTGACACAAGACGTAAGGTGAACAATACATTTTTCCTTAGAGAAATACCCAAAAGTTTTATTCAAATACTCAATCCCATTGTCACTCAGAATTTTTATTTTTGTGTCAAATTGGGTTTCAACTTTTTGATAAAAACTTTTAAAAAGAGACTCAACCTCAGACTTTTCTCTCATTAAGAATATCCATGTTGTCCTAGAGTAATCATCTATAAAAGACACAAATCACTTATACCCAAAAATACTTTTGACAGGAGAAGGGCCCCAAATGTCACTATGGATGATGGAAAAAGGTGTTGTTGGTTCAAATTTGGCTGCAATATATGGTTTTCTGGTGTGTTTGGCTATTTGACAAATTTCACAGGAAAACAAAGAAGGATCTTTTTTTATAAATAAGTTTGGTAACATTTTGGAAAGATAGAAAAAACTAGGATAACCTAATCTAGAGTGCCAAAACATAATTTTATTGGTATTGAGATCAGAAGATAAAACTGGTTTCCTAAGAGCACTGGATAAGGCATGATTTTGAGATTCTCGACCTCAAACGGTGTACAATCCTTTGCCCAGCCTAGCACTGCCAATCACCTTCTTCGAGCCCTGTGCCTGAAAAATACAACCACCAGTACCAAACACAACATTACAACCAAAATCTTGAATTAATTTGCTGACTGACAACAGATTGCATGCAAGTTTAGGAACATAAAGGGCATTATGAAGTAGTAGATTTTTGTTTAATGTAACAGAACCACTCCCTTTGACTGTAGTGGGAGAGTCATCTGCTATTTTTATAGAAGCTGGTAAGCTGCTTTCACTATATTCCTCCAAGAGATCAACATTTCCTGTCATATGATCTGATGCACCCGAGTCTATTATCCATTGTACCGAGGAAGTATATGGATAATTACCTTTAGTAGCAGTATAAGCCACATTGGTAGGTTTGGCTGTTATACTGCTCAAAATCTGCTGCAGCTTCTCTATCTGTTTCTTGCTAAAACTGTTGGAGGAATCATCTTGAGAGGCAATATGGGCCTCTTTTTGAAACCTGGACCTTGTGGGCTGCCGATCGACTGGTTTTCCGTGCAACTTCCAACATTGATCTATCATATGGCCTGGTTTCTTACAATGTTCACACCAAGGGCGATTTTTCCTCTACTGGTTCCTAGAGGTGGAACTGGTGACAAGTGCAGAAGTATCTGTTCGCTGAACTGGTGGCACTATCAGAGATTGTCGGCTTTCCTCCCTCCGAATCTCTAAAAAAACTTTTCAGACCAAAGGAAGGGGTTTGGTGGCAAGAATCCTCTCTCTTGCTCCATTGAACTCTCCATTAAGCCTAGATAAAAACTGAAAAACTCTCTGATTTGTCTGCCTGTTGTAGAATTTATTGTCTTCCTGGCACTTCCATTCATTCTTTTCATATAAGTCGATTTACTGCCAATACTTGTTGAGAATTCCGAAGTACTATGCGACGGTAAGGTCTCCTTGTCTGAGATCTTTAATGTGATTCTCAATCCCAAATAGCTCCGATGTATTGTCAGCACTTGAATAAGTATCTCAAGCTACATTCCAAATTTCTGTAGCAGTTTAATACAGCATAAAATTCTCCCCTACTTCAGGAATCATGGAATTTATTAACCATGACATTATCATGGTATTTTCACTCTGCCATGTGTTGTACTTTGGGTCTGTCTCTTCTGGAATCGGCATTGAGTCAGAAAGATAGGCAATTTTCCTTCTTCCTGTGATATATAGCCGTACGGACTGAGATCATGGTAGGTAGTTGTTTCCATTTAGTTTATAGGAGGTTATCGGTGAAAGAGAGGAATCTGAAATCTGAAAATCAGATTGATAGGGGCTGATCTGGGAAGTGATTTTGGATGTTGAGGGATCTGGATTAGCCATGAAAAAAATAGAGTTGAACAGGAATTGATTTAAAGAGAAGTGGAAATCGGATTGATCGTTCTAACCTGATACCATGTAGAAAACAGACTGTAGAAAATAGAATAGTCTGTTCTTTTTTCTTATTTGATTCAGTAAAGCATATTACATATTTATATACAAATTATGTCTCTAAACTAGGAAACTCTAAGTTAGGAAAGATACTAATCTTAGGAGATGTAATCCCTTGAAACAGGGGATTGAAAAACAGAGAATAATTACAGAATCTCTTAATTTAAGGGATTGAACAACTAATTTCTATACTTCCTCCAACCTTACATAACCTACAAAAATTACAACTATAATCAACCACAATCCTAATTGCAACCCTCTAAACAACTATAAATTACCCAAACAAAAGGTACAAACAAATTATCTTATACCCGCCTTGGCCAAACTGTCAGCCTCCCAATTGACACCTCTCTTTACAAACCCAATAATAACACTACAATTTTCGTAACTAATTGGGGTAAACAAAACAAGGCACGCCCCGCGATTCTTAATCTAATTTACTACAATTGTTGAATCATTCTCTATAATTAACCGACCCTTTCCCTCCCATTCTGATCCCAAAAAGAAAGCTAAACTAGTTTGAATGGTCTTCAACTCAGCTAAAATAGGAGGGCCTAGACCAGTAGGAATCGAGAAAGAACCCAACGTCTTGCTCTTCTCATCCCTAAATATTCCACCAATCCCACTTCTTTTCCAGTCTCTGCTCACCGTTCCATCCATATCAACTTTAAAATAACCAAGGTACGAAGGACTCCACAATGCCGGATCAACGACTAGACAGTCTAGGAGAACGGGAAATTTGGGAAATTTCGCCAAAAACCAAGCTGCCACACTAAATCTCGATATAAAGAACAAATGGGTACGATCAAATCTTCCTTTTTCAAAAACCAAATGATTCAGACACTTCCATATAAACCACAATACAGCTCCCGAAATAAAATTTCAAATTAAAGACTTTGGAGCTAAGCTGCCACAAGAAGATATTGATTAAGGTGGGGATGGTGGAAGTTAGCTTTTCTGATGAATTCAAGAACAATTTTGAAAAGGATCCATTGGGTGAATGGGAAGATGAGTCTTCGAAAAATTATCAATCTATTGATCAGCGTACCCAGGAAAATGCCTTTGGTGGGTCGGAAAGTTCAATAGTTAAGCCCGGATGCTTGAAGAGTTCACCTGGAAAAAGGGCTTATTCCTCAAGAAATTCTAACGGAACTGAAGCTTATACAGATGCAGACTGGGTAGGCTCATTAACAGATAGAATATCTACTTCAGGGTATGTAGATTTGTTTGGGGAAACCTTGAGACTTGGTGAAGCAAAAAAAAAACGTCTTGTAGCTAGTAGTAGAGGTTGAGTTTAGATAAACGGCTCAAGGAATTTGTGCAATGATGTGGTTAAAAAGAATTATGGAAGAGCTACGGAAACCAATAACTTAACCGATGAAGTTGCTCTGTGATAGCAAAAATGTCATTAGCATTGCTCACAACCCAGTCCAACATGAGAGAACTAGACATGTTGAGATTGAAAGGTACTTTATCAAGGAGAAAAATGAAGAAGGCCAAATGTGCATGATGTTTGTTCCTTCAAAACAATAGATTGTTGACATACTGATCAAAGGGCTCTTTAAGGCACGTTTTGATTTTCTTGTAAGCAAGTTGGCCGATATTGATAGTCTTATAGATATGCACCAACTTGAGGGAGGCTGTCAACATATTTGATGAACTCCCATGTATTTTGGGATAACTTTTAAGTTAATTAGATAAATAATCTTAGATAATCAATTGAGATTTTTTAGGAAGATTTGTTTATATATTTTAGTTGTTTACTAGAATAAGGGAACTATTTTCCCAATTATATTATGAGTCTTTTGCTATTTAAACTCGGTTATTTTAAAAAACAAAACAATTTTATTGAGTATAGTCTAATACTTTCATATCCCACAATAATGAAAATAAATTGCAGCTAGTAGCAATGAATTGCCCAAGTTATGCTGAACACGCCACCCAATAGAAACAAACTATAGGGTTGCAATATCCACATATTTCAGTTGTAACTGAAGAACATGCCACCCAATAACTAAATAGATATAAATCAAACTGAATCTAAATAATTTATAGGAACTCCATTTTAAACAAGCAAAAGAAAAACACCCCCGCCTCTTTATGAGACCAAGGGCGAAACTAACCTGTAAAAGAAGAAGCCAAATTTTTTTGCAGCCAAAACCAAAGCAGCCTCATCTGGGGATGCAGCTTGATATTTGATTTTCTCGGGGGACTCGTTACCTTCCGGAAGCACTGTGTGACATATGGCAATGCATCTAAAAAATTCCTGCAAAAAAGGAATGAGTAAGCCTAAAGTGCTGCAGTATATAAAACACTACATTATTCCTAGGTATAGGTAGTATCCAGCGACAGAATACTACTAGTTTGAAATCCGTACAGATAGATGCTAGTGGAGTGAGTGAAATAAGGTTAAATGCAAATCATGTTTCTCTGCTTTCCTTCTAAACTAAGTGCATTACAAATGATTAAAGCAGGAATAAGAAAAGCAATCTGAAAAAAATCTATAACAAAACCCATCTTGATGATCATATCATACTGAGAAGGCACCCAATATTACTAATTAGGCTCGGTAGCTCACTCATAAGTACAGATTATGCCTATGAGATAACTGTCAAATACATGGATAAGGACAAATATCCATCCAACAACACTGTATATGGATACATATGAACTCCAAACTGTCACAAGAAAGAATTTAGTTGACAACCTAAAAGGAGTAAGGGGGAAATGAGGTTCCCAAAATCCACGGAGAGATTAAGCATTTAGTCGACAATCCAAAAGCAAGACAACTAGGTGGTCAAGCAAAATTGAACAGTAGATATTACATTTTACATTCTTAATTATGGCTACATCCTTAGTTTTAAAAGGCGCAAAGCATCATGATTAGCTCGATTCACACAATAGTTTTCTTATTCCAGAAGGGTAAGTACTAAAAGACATTTACTAACAAACATCATACTAAATACCAAATTCTATTGCCAAAGAGGCAAAGACCATAGTGAGCTACCTTACACACATCATGATTAGGTTCATTTCTCCAAGCTCCACGTATAAGCCTCACATCATCAAAATTGAAACCCTTTTCCCGAACAGAACCAGCTGACATCTGCACCTAAAATATGTTACAAGAACAAGTAAATCATTCCTATGGCACATAGGATAATTTGCTCAAAAAAGTAAAATATTTGTTTCTTCATAAAGATATTTGAAAGGGAATACCTCTTGAACCTTTATGCCTTTTCGTTCAGAGATGTCCCTCTCAATTTCGGTCATACCTGCTCCATAGATTTCACCTCCGATTGAACACTTGAAGAACTCCATTAAATTTCTTGTCAAAGTTCCAGTTTTATCAGAAAATATGTATTCCACCTAACGATACCAGCAATTCAAAATGATTTAGAGGTCAATATATAGAATACAAATAGAGGTTGAATCTCATTCAACTTGGCTAAAATTGCGTATACTTACCTGCCCAAGTTCCTCGTTCAAATTAGAAGTCCTCGCTGAAGCTGGTGTGTTGGTTTCAGCGTGGTACATATTTAAGTCCTTGTTGATAAACTGAGAGGACTGAATAAACTTGATTGTCTGAAATTGCATGTAAAATCCAATAAGGCATTTTTGTGCATTGAAAAAGCAATAAATTGAGTAAACAAGAAAAAGAAAAGACCAACCTCAATAGAAACGTATAGAGATATAGGAATAATTGTTGAATATAAAGTAAGTAGGGTCAACATGGTCAAAATAATAACCTGTAAAACCAGAAAACAGAATAGAGTTAAGCTTTTTGTATATCTAAGAGAGAGAACCTGAGAGATAATAGCTAAAAACCAGCAAGCATATAGTACCATAAATCTTCTATTAGGGTTGAATTGATCTTCCACATTTTCAAGGAGACCCAAGTAGAAGTACTTCCGGTCAATGAATATTCCACTGCAATATTTCAAGCAGAGAACATTATTATAAAAAATACGGCAGAATTAATAAAATCCCACAACATTACAAATGTAACGTTATTGCAGACTAGCTATTTCACAAACCTGCCCATTGCTCCAACCAGACACAGAGAGAAAAGAGTACAAAAGAGGGCGAGTATAAGTTTGTCAAGTTTCCTCTCTAATGTACTTCTTTTTGAAGGAACATTCATGGAATTCATCATAACCTGCAAACTCATCCCAGGTGACCACAAAATCTATAAGGGAAGCTAAGTAAAAGAGAAGAAGGTAGAGGAAAGGAAAGGAAATAAAAGAAAAGGATTACACACTATATGGTTTGAAAAGTTAACAGTAGCAAAGGAAAAGAAAGGAATCATGATAACAATTTTTTACAATTCATAAAATAATTTCTATAAAACATTAAGAGAAAAAAAAAGATATTTTACCTCTTAATTTTTTTTTTACTTTTCTTTCCGTAGCTTCTTCCCCAAACTTGTGTAGGTAAAAGTAAAAGAAGGGAAACTCAATTTCCATTACTTTTTGTACAAAAAAGCCAAATCAGTTTACCACTCATAGTTGGAAACGAGTAGATTAGTACTTAGTTTCCTAAGAAACAAGATCAGTCATTAGCTGATTAGTTTGTTGAGGGTCCTAACAATGTGGGATTATCTCAATGAAATGAGTTTCCCACTATACTAGATTTTTTCGTGAATTAAATGACAATAAACCTCAATGTGTTCCGTTTGTTCATGAAACACTGGATTAAAAGCAATGTGAAGCGCAGATTGATTTTCACATCATTGTGGAGTTGATATACACATGAGTTCACACACAGACTTTTCCATATCTATATATTAAGCTTATGCACTAGATCGTGAGACCACATTCAGTTTCTCACACTTCCATGAAATCAAGTTTCCTCCAACAAACACATGATATCCTGAAGTAAATCTATTGTCTTCTTTACATCTTGCTCAAGTCGAGCCTGAAAAATATTTGATCTTAATATGACCATGAATGACGTATAGAATTCCACTTCTAGAAGCACTTTTCAACTAATGAAGAACTTGTTCTACCGCTTTTCAATGATCAACAGTTGGAGATGACATATGCTGATTAGCTCAGCACACTTATCAGATAAGAAATATCAGGACGTATCACAGTAAAATGATTCAACTTTCCAACAAGTCTTTGTACCACGTGGGATCTAAAAATAATTCACCTTTTTTGGTTAATTGTAACTTGGGAACCATTGGAATACTACATGGTTTAACATCCAATTTTCCTGACTCCAACAATAAATCAAACACATAATTCAACTTTGAATAAATATTTTAACATCCCAAGGTCTTTGGTATGGAATTGAGCATGGAGAACAGAATTAAAGATGAAATTCCGCTAGAGGCACTACCAGTGATTACAATATCATCCACTATACAACTGACATAATAATGCCTCCATCAGACTTCAATCTCACAAGATCAAACATTTCATTCTCAATGAGTGTTGTAAGCCAATACATAAATGATCCACATAAGGAACATTTAGAAGCTATAAATTGGATTCTTTGATACCTGAAGATGACTCCAAGCCACGGTTTTCTCTTTAAAAAGAGTTAAATCTGTGAGATCGAGGTATAAGTTGACGCAAGTTGGGCTGGAGAATTAACTAAAAAAAGATCTACAAGTGGTTATTGCACCTTTGTTTGGAGCAATCTTGTTACACGGAGAAGCAAGAAGCAGCCAATAGTGTCAAATAGTGAAAAATCCTAATAATATTGTGCTCTTTCTTTGGCCATTTGCAAAAGAATGTGGATTCAAAGACGACTGAGGGAATTGCACGTTGATTTTGAAGGCCAGATAAAAATGTATAGTACAATCAATCTCCATAAGCACTGCTAAAAATCTAGTACACCACGACCAGGGATTTAAATTGTGGTTGCAGTCGCATTTTGTGTCATGTTGCATTCATTGCGGTTGAGGATATAATGGATACTATTTCACTCACTACGGCTATCCTAGTTGTGAATTTTTTTAAAATGAGTTGATTTTTTTAAGAGGAGCTAAGTTTTTTTGAAAAAAATAGAATAGTAGAACAATAGCAGGAATAGCGGCCCACTATTGCCGCAATTAGTCACTACCCGTTAAATTGCGGTCGTGGATACCGCTATTGGTGTGTTTCCGATTCACACTGCTATTTTCCGCAATGTTGTTTTGGACACCACCGATACCGATATACCGCTACCCGATCGCAATTTAAATCCTTAATCACGACATGACAAAGCATATGGAAACTTGATTGTCATTTCATTTCAAAGAAGGTCAACAATGGAATAATCCAACTGATCTACATCCCTACTCAACTGCAACTTGCTGACATTCTTACCAAAGCCCTTCAAAGAAACAGCTTCGATAAATTCAACTCCAACCAGGGATTGTATAACATTTACACCCCAGCTTGAGGGGGAGGGTATAGAAAAGCCAAATCAGTTTCCTACTCGTAGTTGTAGACTGGCAGATTTACTTAGGTTCCTAAGAAATAGGATAAGCCATTAGCCGATTAGCTTGTCAAGTGTCCTAACCGTGTGGGATTAACTCATTTATTTCATTATATTACCCCAATCCAAACATAGGGTAAAAAATGCTTGTACTTGAACATTTCCCGGAAACAAACAAATTTGAGCATGTTATGAGTTAAGCATACTGCATGTAAGAAATGTTATTAAATTTCCATAACAAACCTTAGTTTCATGACCAGTAAAAATAACAGCACCAACAATGAAATCGGTGTTCTTCAGACTGCAACCCTGAAATTAAATTGCCAATATCAACTCCATTTTAATTTCATCAAAAAGAACATCAAGTACAACAATTTTTACCAAAAAACTATTAGGAACAAAACTTAAGATACCCAGAAATTCAAAACAATGTATCTGTAAAATTAACTGTAAAAGGATTTAGTTTATCTACAAACAGTGCACTTTTTTTAGTTGATCAAACTCAAACTCAAATATTTCCATATGGAGAGTTTAGTATCTTGTTATTAAAGGTATGTCTCATGAAAAAGTGAAAAATAAAAGAAACAAAAGAAAATTTCTATTAAGAGGGCTTTTTTTTTGCATGTTGCCTTAAATAAGGCAGGGCACGCCTAGGCATGTGCCTCACCCATAATGGTCTGAGTTATTTTCTAGGTCTATCACTAAGGTACAAGGTGCTGACACACCTTGGCAACATTACTAATGAGGGAAAAAAGATACTCAGAAAATACCCTCAGTAAAATCTGATTTGGAGAGAGAGGCAATGTTTGATTGTCAATTACAAGATTGCCAGTAAAAGTGTACAAAGAGTTGTTTGGCTGCTCACACTGCACTTCACCTGCAATTAAAAAGGATTGATGCTATTTAAAAGTTAACAAGAAAAGATACAAATTGATTTTGAAAGCATCACTTCAGACGAAGTCCATCAACTCATTAAAATTTTAATGGTATTATTGCCTATGGTTTTTATTGCAACTAGCATATCTTAAAAAGAAGAAAAAGGTTAAAAAATGGTGAACAGTTAATATGCAATTTAGAAAAAGCTTGCACTTTAAGTGTTTAAAATGGAAAGAGGAAATAACTTTTTAAACATCCCAGAACAGAAAGATATGAACCCAGTTGAATGCATGGAGTCATGAGTACAAAATAATTACAAGTACATTAGCTAATCCAAGTTAGAATCAGAAAATAAAATTCAATAAAGGATGATTATGTCACAGAGATATGCAACAGAAACTAAGCAGTTAAAACTAAATGGGAAAATTGTTTAAGTTGAGGTGGATATGAAAGCAACGGATAACATTAATATAGGCTCAATTTGTTAGGAAAAGAAAGAAACAAAAATAAACACACACTAAAAGCATCAAATAAATCATAGCAAACCTATAGCCTTAGACATGAAAAAAAAAGAATTCCAAAAAGAACCCAACAGGAATAAATATGGATTCTCCTACACTAACATAAACTCCAAGTTGTTGGTCATGCTTTAAAATATCTTCATTGTCGCTGAAAAGTTGAAATCTGAAAATAGGTTGAAGTGTTCTTTATTCACAATTTATCTTTTTATCTACATTAATATCATTAAAAAGGCACAAATTACAATAGTAACAAGAAACACGTAAAGAAGAGATGAAGATCAAAGTGAGAAATATGATGGAAACTAACATATTATATTAGCAGAATATAGAAGAAGACTTTTAAGAATGAACAATAACCAATTTCAACAATCTTATGCCTTCATAGGCAGAACCATCTTAGTCAGATTAAAATTATTTCCAAAAAAAGTGAAAGTGAATTTCAATTTAAAGAAATTAAATTTATATACTAACTATAATCACAGGAGTTTGACCTTATTCACCATTTTAGTAAAACTAAAATCAAGTAAAACTTTGAACAAACATTAAACACTAAAAGTTTGACCTTTGAATTCACATGCTTTTTCAGGAGTCAAGTAATCCCAAGTCTTTTCAAGTGCCTTTCTGATTTTCAGATTTGTTTCCCCATCTAAATTTGCAGACTGCAGAAAAAAATGAAAATTTTCTCACTTTAGGAACAAAGCACCCAATGGGACATAAGAAAGGGGCAGTTCTGCGGTGCGGCGCCTTAGTATACGGCTAAAATAAGGCACTATCGGTTTTGTTATTATTTTAAATAACAAAAACGGTAAAAAATGACCGAAAACATCATTATTTTGACCGGTTCTAATTACCTATATAGGTAAACGTGGTAAAACAAATCCGGTTAAAAAATGATGTTTTAGGTAGCGCTTTACCGAAAACATCATTTTTTACCTATATAGTTAATTAGAACCAGTCAAATAATGATGTTTTCGGTCATTTTTTACCGGTTTTGTTATTTAAAATAATAACAAAACCGGTAACGCCTTATTTTAGCCGTATACTAAGGTGCCACACGTGAGCGTTTCCCATAAGAAAGGCTAAAACAGTCACTTTCAATCAGCAGAATAAAAGGTAATTACCTCAATGTAGCAAACACCATCAGAATTTGTACTAGCAAGTAAAAGAATATCTGCAGGAAAAAATTCATCTTGCTTAACCTGCAAAAGGGAAAATTTTAACAATATTTTCCTATACCTATTCAGTTGGTGATACAATCTAAATCAACTCAATTAATATTTTATTGTAACACATTTAAAGAAAAGAAAACTTTCTGGAAGCTACAAATATCTTTAAATCGTCAACCTCAAGTAAAAAGGCAATGACAAGTCACCGGTTGAACTTGACCAAGTGTACAACTGTACACGAGGGCAATGCTGACAATACTTCTTTGTGAGAACTTAGGTGGGGTAAACACAGTCCTCAATGGGAAATGCACATATTATCCCCATCAGTCAGAATTTATGTAACTACAAACTGGCAATTATGAAGCATCTCTCAATATGTTAACTTCCAATCAAACCAAATTTCATGACATGAAACTGGAAGAGAAGCATACAAAGGGAAAAGAAATATATATTTGAAAATATTTTCTAGATATCCAGAGGAGGGAAGGGGGGAAGAAGAAGGAAGTAGCGTGAGAAATAAGACAACCATTTCAGTATTTGACAGTACAAGAAAAATATCTCAACAACATGCATCTAGAAACTTACCCTGATAATATCTCCAACATGCAGCTTTTTCCATTGAAGAGTTTCCCAACCTTGCTCTTGCAACACGTCGACAGGAATGTTATTTATGGCTTTATCATTCTGAAGACGTTGCTGTGGCATATGATAAGGGAAAGAATGAACTTCAGCATTCAACTCAAACTTACAAAAAGTCAAAGCTCAAAGCTAAACGTTCCAGAACCTTATCCCCTGGCCCAAAATCCTCCCAAACCCAATCTAAGGATGAGAAAAGAAAATTGATAAGGACCCAAGGCAAAGGAGAAAAAAAGAATCCTACAACAAGCATGCAAATGTAGTACTCACCCAGTCCTCAAATGCCTCTTTGATGAGAGAAAACATAAGCACAAGACTCAGAGGAACCATATTTGTTACAGGATTAACAGGACTGCATCAAGAGAAAACTGTTATTAAAAAGGCATAAATTACTATAGAAACAATTACACAAAGCAACTGGTTAAATCTTCAGTCTTACCAAACATATTTGTGGGCATAAATTACAATAGTAACAATTACACAAAGCAGCTGGTTAAATCTTCAGTCTTACCAAACATTATCACCAAAAGAATTGCACCAGAAGAAATGGGTTCAAAAAGAGGTTTCAGATGCAGTACAATAGACCATGAAGAGAATGCAACCAATGAGCACAAGAAAGAAGATTGAAGATGAAAAAGGGGAATATATAATAATGTCTAAAAGGTGGACTTTCTAGTTTTAATACCAACTGCTAAATCGGCTGTATGAAGGGGAAGTTCTAAGGTGCGACAGCCTTAATATAGGGCTAAAAAAAGGCGTTACCGGTTTTATTATTATTTTTTTAACAAAAACCGGTAAAAAATTACAGGAAACATTATTATTTCTATCGGTTTTGTTATTATTATTAATTACCGATATTGGTAAACGCGGTAGAAAAACCCGGTAAAAAAAATAATGTTTTAGGTTGCGCTTTACCGGATATGTTACCAAAACCGGTAAAGCGCCCAATAATAACAAAACCAGTAGAAATAATAATATTTCCGGTCATTTTTTACCGGTTTTGTTATTTAAATAATAACAAAACCGGTAGCGTTTTTTTTAACCGTATATTAAGGCTGCCGCACGTGAGCATTTCCATGTATGAACTTTAAATGATAATAGATTAGATTCTTAATAATCTAAATGAGGAAACTGTAGAAATCAGACTATAGAAAGAAAACAGACTGTAGGAAACAGTTAAGTCTGTTATTTTATTCTTGCGTACTTTCAATAGAAACATATTACATATTTATATACAAATTATGCCTCTAAACTAGGAAACTCTAAGTTAGGAAAAATACTAATCTTAGGAGATGTAATCCCTTGAAATAAGGGATTTGAAAAACAGAAAATAATTACAGAATCTCTTGACAGCTCATTTCTATAATTCCTACACTCCCCCTCAAACTGGTGTATATATGTTGTATATACCTAGTTTGAATGACAGCTCATCAAAAGTCACTCGTGGAAGGGCTTTGGTGAAGATATCTGCAAGTTGTTTCTTCGTCGGAATGTACTGCAGTTGTGCAACTCCATTGTTGACCTTCTCGTAAATAAAATGTCTGTCTATCTCAACGTGTTTCGTTCTATCATGCTGCACTGGGTATTTTGCTATACTCATAGCTGATTAACTGTCACTAAAAATCTCAAAATTCTTCTTGTCATCTAAGTCCAGTTCTGGGAGCAGTCTTTTAATCCATATTCCTTCACATATTCCGAGAGCCATTGCTCTAAACTCTGACTCAACACTACTTCGAGAGACAACGACTTGTTTCTTACTTCTCCAAGTCACCAAATTACCCCAAACATAGGCACAATAGCCACTAACTGACCTTCTATCAGTTAATTCACCTCCCCAGCTTGCATCCGTATAAACCTTCACTGTTCTGTCTTGACTTTTTCTAAATATAAGTCCAGCTCCTGGGGTAAACTTCAAGAACCTTAGAATTCTATTAACAACTTCCAAATGTTCTTCTCGATGATCACTCATATGTTGGCTGACAATGCTCACTGAGTATGCAATATCATGCTTGGTCAGTGAAAGGTAGATCAACTTCCCAACTAACCTTTGGTAGGTTTCCTTTCCAGTTTGGTCCTTGCAAAATTTCAAGCCTGGCTCCATTGGAGTTCCAACTGATTTGCAGTCGAACATCCCTGTTTCTGCAAGAAGATCCAAAACATACTTACGCTGGTTTATGACCAGCCCTTCTTCGGACCTTGCAACTTCCATACCCAGGAAATACCTCATACTCCCTAAATCCTTGGTTTCAAACTCCTTTGCAAGATTCATCTTTAGCTTTTCTATTTCTTCTATATCACTGCCAGTTATAATCATATCATCTACATAGATAATTAGGAGGGTTATCTTACCACTCGGTGTAATTTTTCTGAATAATGTGTGATCCGCTTGGCTTTGTTTGAAACCATTCTGTGTAATAGCCTTAGCAAATCGATCAAACCAAGCCGTGGGAGACTGTTTTAAGCCATATAAGGATTTATTGAGCTTGCACACAGTTTTCTTAGTGACCTTTCCTTCTAATCCGGGGGACCTCCATGTATACTTCTTCTTCGAGGTTCCCATTCAGAAAAGCATTCTTTATGTCCAGCTGATGCAATTTCCAATCCATGTTAACAGCTACTGATAACAATATTCTGATGGTATTCAATTTTGCAACTGATGCAAAAGTCTCCTGGTAATCGATGCCATAGGACTGAGAAAAACCTTTAGCAACCAGCCTTGCCTTGTATCTTTCCACACTCCCATCCGAATGATATTTGACTGTGAATATCCACCTACATCCAACAACTCTCTTCCCTTCTGGCAAATCTGTCGAACTCAATGTCTTATTCTTTTGCAACGCTTTTATCTCCTCTTCCATAGCCTTTTTCCACTCAGGAGATTGAAATGATTCTGTCACATTTCTTGGGATTTTCACACTGTTAATGTTGACAGTGAAGGCCCTGAAATTAGAGTATATTGCATATGGGAAATTATAGCTATAATTTCCCATATGCAATATACTTATTTATGGGATGAAGAGTGCATTTCTTACCCCATTCCTAATAGCAATAGGAAAGTCATCAAGATCAACAGTAGCAGCCTCTTGGTAACCATCATTACCTTCTGTTTCAGATGCAACAGGATCCGAATCTGGTTCTTGGCTTTCAGAGGCAACAAGATCCGAATCTGGTTCTTGGCGAATGCTAGGCTGATTGATTTCTTTAGCAACATCTTTCCTTTTTCTTGAGTAAACACTGAGTTGTTTCGGATGGGGAGTTATGGTTTCAGGGTCATTGTTAGGTGCATTTTTTATAGTGGTGGAAGGGGTTTTGCACGGACTAGAGTTCTGAGGTAAGAAGAAAGGTAATTCATCAGAGTTATTTAGGTTATTCCCATCACCCTCACTAGGAACTAGAACTGTGCTAGCCGGCTTTGGAGAGACAGTAATAGGTAAAGAAAGGATAGGCTGTAAAGAAATATTAGTTTGAACAGACCGAAATTCCTTGTAACTCTCCTCCTGAATTTCTGTTCCCAAAAAATAAGGTTGGTTTTAAAAAAATGTAACATCAAAGAAGACATATGTCTTTTTTGTGGAAGGTGAGTAACATTTGTAACCCTTCTGACTCGAAGAATAGCCCAAGAACACACACTTTATGGACCTAGGATCTAATTTTCCTCTGTTGTGGATATGAACAAAGGATGTACACTCAAACACCCGAGGAGAAAGACTTGAGGTTAAATGTTTAAAATGGGGAAAAAGTTGAAACAGAACCTTAGTAGGAATTTTGAAATCTAAAGTCTTACTTGGCATTCTATTGATGAGGTACGTGGCTGTAATAAGAGCTTCCCCCAAAGATACTTAGGAGCATTAACAGCAAACAGAAGAGACCTAGTAACCTCTAGAAGATGTCTATTTTTCCTTTCTGCTACCCCGTTTTGTTGAGGTGTGTTGACACAAGACGTAAGGTGAACAATACATTTTTCCTTAGAGAAATACCCAAAAGTTTTATTCAAATACTCAATCCCATTGTCACTCAGAATTTTTATTTTTGTGTCAAATTGGGTTTCAACTTTTTGATAAAAACTTTTAAAAAGAGACTCAACCTCAGACTTTTCTCTCATTAAGAATATCCATGTTGTCCTAGAGTAATCATCTATAAAAGACACAAACCACTTATAACCAGAAATACTTTTGACAGGAGAAGGGCCCCAAATATCACTATGGATGATGGAAAAAGGTGTTGTTGGTTCGAATTTGGCTGCAATATATGGTTTTCTAGTGTGTTTGGCTATTTGACAAATTTCACAGGAAAAAAAAGAAGGATCTTTATTTATAAATAAGTTTGGTAACATTTTGAAAAGATAGAAAAAACTAGGATAACCTAATCTAGAGTGCCAAAACATAATTTTATTGGTATTGAGATCAGAAGATAAAACCGGTTTCCTAAGAGCACTGGATAAGGCATGATTTTGAGATTCCGTGCAGCTTCCAACATTGGTCTATCATATGGCCTGGTTTCTTACAATGTTCACACCAGAGGCGATTTTGCCTCTGCTGCACTGAAAATCTGAAATCTGAAAAAACAGATTGAGATGGGCTGGTCTGGGAAGTGATTTTGGATGCTGAGGGATCTAGATTAGCCATGAAAAAATATAGAGTTGAACAGGAATTGATTTAAAGAGAAGCGGAAATCGGATTGATCGCTCTAACCTGATACCATGTAGAAATCAGACTATAGAAAGAAAACAGACTGTATAGTAGAAAACAAACTGTAGGAAACAATCAAGTCTGTTATTTTATTCTTGCATACTTTCAATAGAAACATATTACATATTTATATACAAATTATGCCTCTAAACTAGGAAACTCAAAGTTAGAAAAGATACTAATCCTAGGAGATGTAATCCCTTGAAATAAGGGATTTGAAAAACAGAAAATAATTACAGAATCTCTTGACAGCTCATTTCTATAATTCCTACAGAAACACGCATAACTCTTACATTCTAATGAATGGAACGGGAGATGACCAGAAAACTGAAAGAAATACAATAGATGGTCATGTCAGTTTTTGTACGGACAATACTTACAGTTTCAACATCTATTTTAAAAATAAAAAATAAAAAAATGTACATCAAACCAATAAATATTTATGACATTTCACTCAAAGATGAAGGTTTTTAGATCAGAGAAATCTCTCTCATTCTGTTCATGAAAGAATTTAATCGAGCCCCAAGCCACATTCCCTATGTCAAGTGAACACCACTAAGTGGATGAACAAATTAAGTAATAATTCCATCACTGCGCAAAATCTGTTCTTTGTAATTAACACCATAAGAAAAACTTACCTATATGGAGTTGTTGACAGAATAGACACCATAAGAAAGTACAAGTTAGCTACCCGCCTGAACTGTCGGAGTAAAACAGAACATTGTCAGGATCAGAAGTAGCCAAACACCCTTGGACTCTAACAAAAAATTAATAAAAATTAATTAAGCAAAATTTCTAGAATATATTCAGACCCAAGAAAACAATGGTTTATAAAGTAAGACAGTCACTGTCTAACAGTTATGGCCAGGGATAAAAGAAGTTGAAGAGCCATCCAAAATAGAAAGAAAGAAAAAAAATATTCATTTCATTATGATTATGCTAATTCGAATGTCCTCAAGTTTGTCGAAAGGAATTAACAGAAGAACTAGCACCTGAAGAAGAAATGGTAAATATGGAGCACTTTCTTGGAAATAAACCTGATAACAGTTTTCCACTTAAACAATCTAATAACAATTTAACTGTTGCACTTGTTATTTCTCATTAAGATGGTACGGCCCAACAAACAACATTCAAAATAAATTAAGCAAATTATCAATATACTAGTATAAAGCAATGATTAAAAGTAAAACGACTGAAGTCACAAACAAAAAGATCATACATGCCTCAAAATGTAATTGCTGGGTTTAAAGTGTTTCTAGGAATGACTGTAGGATATGGTTATGGAAATGGAGAATCTTAGAAGGATGACAGTGGTAGCTAAAAACTAGTATGTCTTTTCACTTAGTAATTATTATTTTTCTTGAAGAAAAAGAGTAAAACTCTACTCTTCACAAAAAGCATAATTTAGTCAAGAAAAGAAACAATAACATGTCTTCCATTGTGTTTCCAACCTCTTTAGCACAAACTCCCCAGCCAATAATTAGTTAGAAATGTAAGGTTATTAGGACAGCCATCAGCATTAGCCAACAACATAATCATAACAATGACTATTCCATTATGGACATGAATAACACTATAACCATCTCCGTAGAAGTAACTGCATCAAAGTGAAGTTATATGATACAGGTATATCATATGAGAACCCAAAACAAACTACCCATTTAATTACTAGCTCAATAACAATTTTCTTTAATATCCTTTTTCAAGGTTTTGTCCTGTTATGATCATTTTTTCCAGTTTTTCCATGTATTTGCAGACTCCCTTGAGGGTCTTATAACCATAATCCTGTCTGGATATGCATCGGACATGGATACTTTAAGAAAAATAATATACCAAATCCACATTACTACCAGGGACGAAACTAGGAACCAAACATTGGGAGGGGCAAAACTGCTTAACTTCAAAATAATTAGGGGAAATTAAGTATTTAAACCTAAAAATTGGGGGGCAATGCCTAATTTGACCAATATTTAAAGAGGGACTTAAAGTGCCATTATTCCAAAAAGTTGGTTCCATTATAAGGTTTATTCAGAGACCAAAATGCAAGGTCAACCTATAAAGTTTTCATAAGAAAAGACTAAAGTACCATACAGCCATATTCCTGTTTCAATCCAGTAGAAGTCCAATAAAGTTACCTGTTCATACAGCCCCTTTGGTAAGAAGGTAAAGATGTTATACTTGGTAGTTGATATGGAATTACCCTGGAACAATAGATACCACACTAATGAGAACAACATCATATGCATTAGAATCAGATGCAAGCAGCAAAGTATGAATACGAATAAAACTTCTAGAACTCAAAAGCAATCTTACACGAATAATGTAAATCCAATCGCAGTCCAATTTTAGACAATATATATATATATATATATATGGAATAAGCACTTAGAACTTGCATCTGCAACTGCATTTAGCAACAGCAGGAATACACGTCTAAATCTACTCATGCAACATTAATTGAACTACCAAATATTAGTAAGAAGCTCCGACTTCTTCCATATAGAAATAGCATGTCAACAAGACCAAACGCTTGCAGCTAGTAGTAGATAAATCTTAAAGGATCATAGTCTATGGTGATATCTGGAACCTCGTCACACAACTATTGGAAGCTATTTTTTTCTCAAACTTCAATAAAATGAAATCATTTCTGCAGACACATTAATTACAAGCACACTATTTGAAACTAGCACATGTCACACATCAAACAAAATGTTCAGTGGAGGCTGGTTTAATGAAGCAGGGCATGGACATCCAAAAGTAATGCGAAATTACAAGAACAGTAACAGGAATTTTTTTAGAAAACTAGGACATTGGTCTGGCAAGACACGACAGCAAAAAATATTTTTTATATGATAATATACAATATAAATGTAAAATTTACACTTATCAATTAAATATCAACATGCAAATAGATTTTGAATTTAAAAACATTAACTTTATCAAAAAGAAAAAAATATAACAAAACTATTCATTGCCAATTCTGTACTTGGAAGCGGAAAAAATGAAAGAAAAATTTTCATAATGTGTCCATTTGTCTAGCCGTGTCCTAACATGTTCAGCCATATATTTGTTAATGTTTTGACAGTGTCCAATTTTATGTTTTTTATCTTTTGACTTATTTTAGCGCATCAGCGGAGTTTTGCCATGACAGAGCCGAGTTTGTATCAAAGGGTGCCTTACATCGGACACTCCCCTAACAGAAGTGACAATGCTTCATAGCACTTCTTAAAAAAATGAAGGAAAAAAATAACTTAAGCTTCAGGAGGACAATTTTCAGAAATGATTAGAAGGTATAAGGAAGCAGCTTAAACACGTCTTCAGAAGCATCTTAAATGATATCAAACATACTAGCAGTTTTGCATTCTCATAGAGCCTACAAGCAGAACTATATTTTGTAGAATATATAACATGAAGACCATGTTATTAAGGCATTCGCCTATCCACAGCCCCTTGCGGTTAAAGAACAACACCACCTCAAATATTTGCGCACAGCACATTTGATCTAATGTATGCGTAGTGCATTTAAGTGCAGACTTTTGGAAGTTGGTAGATGTAAAAAAAATTGATTAATTAAAGTTCTCTTCAGTTTCGTTTGTCATAAATTGTACCTTTAGTACAAAAAAATAAGGGATTACATCAAACTCTTCTTGTTTTTTGTGTACTAGAGAGAAAAAATGAGACTAGGAGACCATGCATATTGGCCAAACAAAACAAAAAAATTGAAAATTCAACATGTTTTGTGGGGTAAACTGGATTGCTTTTTAGAGTTTATTATCATTAACCATATATCTTACGTCTCAAATAATATAAAAGTTATAGCGCGCCTTATCGCAGATTGCACCCTTAACAATAAAGCCAACAAAAGTGAATAAACATAATTTTAAAAATTGGAAACTTAAATCATGCACCTTATAATGGAAGCATTAATTTGTTTAACAAACAAAAACGACTCGGGTTCACTGAATTTCCTATTTTCATCGAAACGTCAAAAAAAGTAAGGATAAAAGTACCAATAAAATCAGAAATTAAAATATAAATACCCTGTAACGATGAGCCATATTGGCATCGCAATCATTGCAGAAGATGGTACGGAGGGCGGGCGCCTGGGGCTGAACCCGTCCGAGTGTGACGGTTCGAGCCGGCGTTTTCCGACTACTACTACTACCCGGTTGCGATTTCGGTGAATTAACCGCATCCCATCCACTCATCTTCCTTCTATTTATTCACGTTTCTTGCACTCTTTTCGTCTCCCCGACCCAAGAAAAGGAAAAGAAATGAAAATTTGAGGATGTGCAAATGTAGATTCTGAAAATGAACACGCAATGGGGTTTTGATGTTTGAATCTGGATTTGTTGAAGTTGGTTTTAAAAGCGATGTTTCATTTCCATGGACGATGAAACGGAAGAAGATACTGCTCTCTCAATTCTATTTATTTTTCGCTTTTTATTTGTTTCGGTTATTTTTCATGGTAATAGTTGATTTTCTTTCTTTAATTTTCCCCCAAAAATTTCCAATTTTACACTTTGTGAGCAGTTTTAAATTTAAAGCACGAACAATCGAACCGCTTTTGTTTTGCCTTCCATTTCTCCGCGTGGCTCCATTCTCCGTTCACCGCGGCGCCAATTGAAAGTGAATTTGGAATTTGGATTTGGACTAACAAAAGATGAGGAATAATCGAAGTTTATTCATGCCATGCTACAGCTTCAGAGTTAGAGTCGTAAGTATGGTAATACTCCATTTTAGCGTGAATATTTTTTTAAAAAAAAAGTTAAATTACATTAAAAATCATTTAATTTTAAATTTACATTTAATAATGTTTTTCACTATTTAACTTTTTTGAAAAAACACCCTAAAATCATGTAAATCTAAGAAAACCTCTAACATATTAAAAAAAGTAGATTTTTTGTTTAATTCATCGATTTTGAGTGGATTATGTGAAAAACTAATCTTAGGAGAAGAAAGATGAATAAAATGTGAACGTTTTGATATCGATTTTTTATGAAAGAAAATCGATAATAGAGGATGATTGGTAGTCGGTTACAACAAGAAAGTCCAATGCTAAAAAGATAAACAGTTTAAAAGTTTAATACTTTGATCTCTTTCAACAATCGTTCAATGATGCTAATTTTAAAGTATGTTATTTTTCTCAAAATAATGCTTCTCATCGTTCAATTTTTTTAACAAATACCCTAAAATTATAAATTAAGAAAACCTCTAAACTTCTAAAAAATGTAGATTTTTTTGTTTAATTTCGTCAACTCTGAATAGATTATGTGAAAAACTAATATTAGGAGTAGAAAGACAAATAATAAGTGAACGTTTTGATATCGATTTTTTATGAAAAAATCGATAATAGGTGATGATTAGTAGTTGGCGACAACATAAAAAGTAGTATAAAAAAGATAAACAGTTTTAAAATTTAATTAAAAAAATACATACATACCTAACTTTTAGTTTCTAAATGGATTCCGCTTAAATTCATATTAATTCATCCCTTATTAAAGTGATTATGTTGATTATGATTCAATCACACAATAATACAATTTTACCCGTATAAAAAATATAATCAATCACATACAACAAATAATAAATTTACACAGTCGAAGTTCCTTTTTTGAGGTGAGTACATATAGTAACAATACAAAATTTTTGAACGAGTTAGGCATACATAAACTTTGAGAGTGAATACTATCAATAAAATATATCACAAATTGAAGAAAATTAAAATTTCAGGATGGACACAATAAAATTTTAGAATTGACACCGTTAATAAAATAAATAATTAATTGAAGAAAATTCGAATGTTAGGATGAACACCTCCCAACCCTCCGTCCTCAATGGATCCATCACTAAATTTACATGTGTCGACACCGTTTTTCGCCACGGTGGGGAAAGACCGATACCGACTCGAGGTTTTCTCTTTGAAAAGAATATTCAAAATGTGAGGACTCGCCACCAATCATTTAAGGTACGATTGGGACACCATAAAAACCGGGTGATTTTAGTAAAATATTTTATTTTTATCAAAATATCGAGTTTTGGGGCCTACGAAAATCCAGAAATAAGGTTCGGGAGTCGGTTCTGCGTGGGGAAGGATTAGCACCCCCACTAGCGCCCAAAAATTGGTACCTAGTTGATTACCCTATATTTAAAATCGAAAATTTTGAGTTCGATCTTTAATTAATTTAAAAATCATTCGAGATGCAGAGTTTGAAAGGGTATTCGTTTATCGAGACCGATAGCATTCTCCCCCGAGCGTAAATACGGGAGATCAACTATTGTGCCTAATAATTGAACATTGCCCCATTTTTAGAAAACATTATGCGGTTTTGAAAAGGATGTCAACTTATTTAGGGAATTATCAGTAGTCACACCCTGAGCATGATTGCAGGAGATATATTATTAATTACTTAATAAGTGAACAGTGCCTTAGATTTATAAAAACAATGCGATCAAGCAAAATTTTATTTATCCTAATTATACTAAAAATAAATTAAGGCTTTTTCTAACTTATGGTGACAAATTATGAAAATTAAAGAACATAATGGCTTAAATCTAAAACGTAGGCTCTAATATTAATTCTATTTGATTTAATTAATTATTGAGTCGAATAACCGAAATAGTCCCTCGAGCTTTTAAACGAGAGCCACTTCGAATTATCCCCTAAATTAAGAGACTAATTTGAGATCTAAGTTAAAATGGAGGCTCTATTTAACATATTTAATTATGTCAATATTAAGAGTTTAATCAAAGGTGAGGGACTAAAAGGATCAAGGTCTAAAGTACTGAGTTCTAAAAGATTTAAAAGTTTGCAATCTAAATTAATAATTTCTAAAGTTAGGGGCTAATTAAAATCTAATTATTACCTAAATTATTACACTAAAATTTTTAGAAAATATTAATTATTAATTAATTTTAGAATCGAACAATCGATTCGAGTAATCGGGCGTATAATGCGAAAATTCGACTCGAATTGCTCCCTAATTAAACTAAAGTGTCGTCCTAATTTCTAAGTTTGATTCGAATACTAAATCTAAGAAATAAAACTATAAAATATTAAAAAAATTAATAAACATAATTAAAATAATTAAAACAATAAATAAAAAAAGTAAAAAAAACAACATAAAATAAAAATAAAAATAAAATATGAGGACCTAATTGAATAAATATAAAATTACTAAACTAAAAGACAATAAACTAAACATGCAATAGGAACTAAATTAAAATTAATATTAAGGTAAAGGCTAAGAATAAGTAATTATATCATATACTCTCAATGTAAGATATTATTGTAAACTAATAAAATGTGTTCGATATATTCATAAATAAAAACATGTAATATGTACATAATATAATATAAGTAATATAAGATATATTTAATAAATGTAAAATATAATATAAATATAGTAAAAAATATCACAATATTTAATGATAATAAAATAATAGAAAGTTTAAATATATACATACAAATACACGTAAACATAGGAGAAAAAAAGAAAAAAATCCTTAGAAATAAATGAGAATAGAAAAGGGAATCAAAAGTTAATAAATAAATGTATAATAGAGTAAGTTAATGCAAATGTGAATTATGATAGAAAGTAAATTTAAAGTAATTACATGCAAAATAAAAGGAAAACTAAAATAAAATAGGAAAGAAACAAAGGGTAGTAAATCAACATGCTTTAAAAGGAAAATTAACTAAAGAGCAAAAAAGTCAAAGGAAGCAAACGACAAAATTAAAGGAAAATAAAAGGTTAGGATAAACATAGCTAATTAATAATGAAAAATCAAATAAACAAGGAAACAAGATTAAAATAAATTAATAGGATTTAAAATACAGTAACCTAAATATATAGATGTGAATGGAGTAAAAAAATTAATTAAAAAAAGAAAGAAACAAATCAGGAAAAGATAAAATTAAATAATATAGAAAAGAAAAAAGGAAATATATTAAAAACGATAGAGGAAATCAAATACACAACTAATTAATAATGAAAAGTTAAATAAACAAGGAAACGAGATTAAAATAAATTAATAGGACACTGTAAAAAACAAATCAAAAGGAATATTACACTCAAAAATAAACAAGCAAACCTGAGGACCAAAATGAAATAAAATAAACACAAGTGTGAAAATCAAAATAATAGAAAAAACGAGCAATGGTGACTTAAATTTAAATATGCGGAAACTATGGAAGGCAAAAGTGCAAATAACAAAAAATCATAAGCTGCCATCGAAGGAAATCAAAGTGCACAGTCGAGTAACTGAACTGTAAAACTCGACAAAGGTCGAATGGCCTGAAAGCAAATAAACCAAACATTAATATTGAAAAATAAAAATGATAAATAACGAAATGAGGACATTAATTTTTTAAAATAAAAATGAAAAGAACAAAACATAGTGATCAAAATGGACTCGGGTAAAACTAGAGAGGATCGTGCATGTGATTAGACCACTGAGACCAACACGCAGAGCATCAAGGGTAAGCAAAACGACGTCGTTTTGGGGTGCTCGGGCAGGTGCCAAAACGACACCGTTTTGGCGTGCCTATAAATAGGTGAAATCCCTTTTATTTTTTAGATTTCATTTTCTTTTTTTCTTTTTTTTAGGTAGAGAGAGAGAAGCTCTCTCTTCTCTCTAAACACAACCGTCCGTCTTCATCATCGACGACCGTCATCCCAGCCGTCGCCGCCGCTGGTGGCCGTTGGCACCAAATTTTGGGGCTTGTTCATCTTATCACGGTGGTTACGGATCGGGGCTCTGTTTCATAAGGGGATGCTCTGATCGTCGTGAAATAGCCAAAGACCATTCGGTTTTCTCTGGCCCCAATCTCTGCCGTTCGCCGTCAGATCGTCACGATTTCAGGGATGTTATCCTCCACCCTTGCTTCTCCTGTTTCACCGTTTGGATCTATGAACGATGGTCCCCACCACCGACGAAGGATTCAGTCGAATGAGAACTTTTTTATTTTTTGTCGTTTTCGAAATCTAAACAAATAGAATAAAAAAACCAACGAAAAGAAATAAAACCTTGCCAATTTCGTTTTTATTTTATGCTTTATATTGATTTTTGAATAAAAAATATAGACCCCATTACAATGTGGTTGCTCGGGTTTTATACATGTTTTACATGGAAATAAAAAAGATCATATTTTGTTTGCTTGTTGGATGTTTTGATGTGTTGCGTGGAGTGTGAGTTTGGTTTGCTTGTTGCAGGAGTTCTGACAGTGGCAGAAAATGGCTTGAGCATGGGGAGTGACTCTGGTAGAGATTGGGGCAGAGGTTTGGCAAGATCTTATTGAGGTGTTTGGGTGACTACCTAGTTGGGTTAGGGTAGACCCGGGTCGGGTTGGATCTGGTTAAGGGTCGGATATGGTCTAGTTTGGGGCTAGTTTGGG